TCGCCGTTGACTTTTTTTCCTTTTTGTACTCCAACTATTACTGCTACCTCAACTGGTAGCAGACTATTCTAAGGTATTTCAGGCCTTGTATAACTGATTTAGATGGTCTGTGAAAGTGGCTTCTCGAGGTGCTTTAGCGTCCCAAATCTTGCTGAGCAGATGTCAGCTGTAGAAGGCTGCTGCTAATCCCCCCCATCTAAACTGCAAAACTGTTTTGGGATGGATTTCTGGCACAACTCCAAATTATAATCTTGTCTAGGGAGGATCCCTTGTACCTCCTGTCACCTTTAGGACTGACTCATCTGTGCTTCCACCTCAAAATTTGTAAGAGGAAAAATAAAGATGAAAGGTGGAATTACTGCTGTTTCTGACCTAATTTAAGCTTGCTGTCAAGGGATTTCTGTGGAACATATTCCTTCCCATTACTGAAATAATTTGGCTAAAAGCATCCAAGAAAGACAGGTGCTCACTGTTAAATATATATAACTAAAGTTCAGCTAGTCCTGCAGTCTAGCTGTCAAATCCAGTTATTAGCTTTAATTTTCATTAGGTGTAATGTGGACTATAATAGTTGTATTCAATTCTAGCTACAGATAACCTACTGTCTAGTTCTGTGGAGAATGCAGATCAAGAAACTTTGCCCACCTTAGGTACCAAACTACCTGCACTGCAACGCTCTGCATGTTCCACACCTCTTACCCAAGCAAATCGTTGCACCAAAGAGCAAGACTACAGGCCTAAATCAGCTGGTAGAAAGACTCCTACACTGGCCTCCCCAGTACCAGGAGGCCCTTTTCTTCGTCCTGTTCATCAAGTACCCCTTGTTCCCCATGTACCGATCGTACGACCTGCTCATCAACTGCATCCAGGATTGGTCCAGAGAATGCTGGCACAGGGGGTTCATCCACAGCACCTGCCTCTGCTGCAAGCAGGTAATCCATACTTTTTTCCCTTTTAGCTACTGCATGTTCTCTGTAAGACTGACCTTGTGTTGGGAACAGCGCAAACTAATACTTGCTGCTGGTAATGTTTATTACATCGAAACTTACCTTTAAAAACAGGCAATAGATTCCAACGCATCTAAATATATAGATGCTTGTTGTCCTTCAAGTTCCTTATGCTTATTGGGTAAGAAGTTTCCTCACTGTTCCTCAACAGGTATGCTTCCTCCTGGAGTGGACCTGTCTCACTTGCAGGGAATATCCACTCCTATCCTTGGCCAACCTTTTTATCCGCTACCATCAGCAAGCCATCACATCTTAAATCCACGCTCTGGGACACCCTTGCAGCTGGCGATGATGCAGCAGCAGCTACAACGATCAGGTAAGTGGAAACATGAAACAGGAGGGTGAGTTTTAGAACACTGACTAGCCTGTTCCATGTACTGTACTTGTTGGCCTGTTTCTGTGAACTGTGCTAGCAGAAAGCTGCTTTAATTTAAGTATTCATCATCATGAATGTTGTGTGGGTATCAAGGCAGTTTTGGCCACTGCGGGTTCTTATGCTAGAAGGAAATCCAAGGGAAGCATTCAGTTTCAAGATAGGTATATAGCTATGTGGCTGTTGACAGACCTGCCTTTCACAGCACCCGTGCACAGTCTTTCTGTCCTTGCTGGATGAGAGGCCACCCACTTACCTTAAGTCTGTTTGATGCTAGGCTTCCAGTTAAAGCCTGCATGATGCTGTGTCTGGAACCAGCAGTGTCAGGCAGTTTATGGGAGTTACTAGCATGAGAAGAAACATGTGGGGCCTGAGTCTCCCAGAGCTAATAGAATTAGTAAAAGCCACGTTCAGCTCACATGCCTTATCAGGTGATTGCTCTAGGGCAGAGCTCGGCGTTGGGCGAATGTATCGCTACACTGCTAATAGCTCCGCATTTCGCAGGCACTGGAGCCCAGGGATCAGCCACTGGTGCACAAACAACCCCTCAAAATGTGCTGCCTCGGACTGGATTATCTCACGGGCACACACAGCTCGACCATCGCCCCAGCCAGAGGAGCGGCTCTCCCATTGGCCTTGCAAAATGGTTTGGTTCAGATGTCTTGCAGCAGCCTCTCCCTTCTATGCCATCCAAAGTCATCAGTGTAGATGAACTGGAATTCCGGCAGTGAACAGTGACCACTGGGTGGAACACTTGTGATTCTTTAGACTGGATTGAAATGTCCATAGTCAGGACTTCACCTCTGTTTGTTTTCTTTTGGGGCTTTTATTTTTAGCACTCTGTGCAAAATTTCTTTTTGAGAGACTAAAGCACATGGCACCTGTCCTGGTCTCATGTCTGCATCAAGACTTAAGGATCCATTATGGCTTGAATAGTGAAGCCTGAAGAAATTTAGATGCAAGACAAAGCCAGTTTAATCCTGGAAGTGTCTTTTCTTTTTGTTTTTGTAAGATATGTGAATGAAGTGCTGATATTCTCTAGTGTAGAGGTAGCAGCTATGGATTCCTCCTGCAGAAAACTAAATGTATAGACCCTTGTGTACAGACTTGTGTATAAACAATCTTTTGTATATATACACATAGAATAGCCTTTTTGAATCTATACAGCTGTACATAAGAGTAGCTGATAACAGTCAAGCTTTAGTTGTGCCTATGGTTTGGACCTTTCTCCATTGTATGTGTGGGACTTTGAGATTAAAGTTGCATATCCTAAGTGTGAGTGAATGGGATAAAGTTGCTTTGCCTTTTCTTGCTGCTCATCTCCTCTAGGTCTCTCTCTTGCATTCTTCTGTCACGTACTGTGCACTCAGCGTAGCTAAAGTGTCAAAAGTAAAAAGCCCACATCTCGCTGTCTATATAACAAAGGTCTGATTTCTCACGTGTACGATTTGCCACCAAATGAGAGAATTGTTTAGTCTTCGAACAGCCTTGAGGATGGGACCTGGTACAGTAACAATAAAGCCAGATCTTGAGTGTGCTGTAAGGCTGTAGGTACCTACTGCTCCCAGCTCTTTCATGAGGGCTGGTGCTGGTCCTTGTTTAGCTGCAGCGTTTTCCTTGTTTTAATCTTTCAAGCCAGTTACTAAAGGTCATCAAAATGGAGCCATTGAATCCTCACCCTTCAGTCATAGCTGTGGTATGTTCTGTGCTGCCTTTGGTTCTGGTTGTAGGAGGGAGTCCCAAGAACTGTCCTCACTCTGGTGTGCATCTACCGATGCAGTTACTGTGAAACTTGCCTTTGGAGTCTTGTTCTGCAGCTTGAAAGGGGGAGGATGGGGTAGTTTTGTGATCTTATTGTGTATATTTGGTTTTAAAGTACTATGTTCCTTTTAAGCCTGTTTCACTTTCCTGAACAGTTAAATGTTCTTTTCCGTCCTGCTGCATGGTTTCTCACTTCACTCCCTCACTTGTCTAGTACTGCTGTCATGTCCTCTATCTAGCTTAGGCCCTTGTGCTCTTTTTAAAAAGGTGAAAGCAAAACCAGAATTCTCACAGACTTGCTCTTTCTAAGGTCTCACTGAATGCAAAACCAGCAGCAGAAAATGATTAAAAAAAAAAAGAAAAAAATCACTTGACTGTATTATAACAATTGCCAGCATGCTGTGGTGGGTTTGTTTCAGTCCAGCAGAGACAATGTGGTACAGAAATTGCAAGCTGAAATCTCCAGTGTGGAGTCTGTTGGGGGTCACCTGTAATTCTAGTGGTTGTTCCTGAAACAATCTGTGTAAAACATGCAATCACCAGCTTGTCCTTGTAAGATTGGTTTCATACTTTTTTTAACTTGACACTTTCCCAGTAACATTCTGTAAATAAAGTTGATTCTACCAGCTGTCTGTATCAACTGCTCTTGAACTAAACTATAATGTCAGTATATTTTTATTTTAGCATTGTTCTTGTGTGTAAGCTAAAACTATGGTCTGAGCTGAGTCAACTTTATCTTTCATGTGGGGGAGAGGCAGTTTGTTTTGAAGGTAACTGGCCTCACTGAAGACACACAATGGAGTTGTAGCAGTTATGTGTGCTTTATTTTTTTTTCCTAAAGCTGTGGTTAAGAGTACTGTAAGACCTTGTTAAACTGACCAGCTCTAAAGGATGAATGAGGTTCAAGGTTTGTAGCTTCCCCTCTGCCCCTTTCCAATCAAAGCTGGTACCCCCAGCACCTCTGCTGCAGCTCAGCTCACATATGCAGGGATCTACTCTAAACTTACAAACAACATTAGGGGGAAATACTTAGAGCAGAATCAAGACTTGAATGTTTTCTTACTAGGCTGAGTAGCTGCAACGTTTGCAAGTAGCTGCATGGTTTGTCTCTGAAATCATTGTGCTACTCTTCTCATATATATAAAAAATAAAATGAGAGGGAGTTTTTGCCACACCTGTACTTTTTTGCAGGAGAGCAAATGCTGGAGGCTAATGCATTTGATAAGGTTTTTGCGCATTGGAGCTCTGACTTTATTAATTTCCATGAAAAAGCAATAGAAGCTCTGTTTTTAGAGCAGCCTCCTTCTCTTGTGCAACTATTTGACTTCTCTAAACTGTGTTGCAGTGAAACACAAGCAGCTACTTTACTTCCACTAGTATAAAACTGAGAAGCGACAGCTCACGAGCAGAACCCAGCAGCTTTTCCACAACTGCAGGACTATTAATAGCCTTGAAGTGTTCAAACCACAACATTTCGGGCTAGAACTCTGTGTCCTCAAGCACTGTTTTATAAGATCCAGTTCTTCAGTCTCTGTTCCATGTTTTGTTCTAACTTGGACAAAATTTCTGATACGTGAACTTCTTTCCAATTTGGAAAGACAGGTACGTGCAGCAGAAAAATCACCCCAGGCATCAAAGCTTGTGAGATCTTGCCCTTGTGAAAGTCACTTAATGTTTTTTGCTTCTAAGTTCTGCGAGAATGGGACATGGCAGTACAAGTTGTCCCGAAACACTAGCTTTATGCTGCAGTAAGGTACTACCATAAAAAAAACAATACTCATTTGTTACAGATTTGAGAGAAAGAGCCTGTCCTCTACCATGTACAACTACTGACAAATTACAGGCCCAGTGGTGAACTGTGTGAGAACAACTTTATTTCTTCACAATCTGAATAACATCCTCATCTTCAAGAGTATGGTCTTTACCAACTTTTTGAGGGTTGTGTTTAACAGACGAACCCCAGACGAGTGCACTGAAAGGAGACAAAAAATCAAATTTAAAAGGCTTAGCAGTATAATACGCAAACAGCAGAACAGCTATTTCTGTCACAAAGCTAATGCAGAAAGCAATGTGTAAGAGCTATTTTTGTCCTCTAGCAAGTACCTGGATGAGTGGTCTGTGTGAACCAGAGAACAAGCAGATCTAAACAAAGCATGAAGTCATCCAAAATACTCGTGCATACAGGACAACAGCCTGTGATGTGGCATCTACTGCTAATTTCAAATATAAAGAAAAACATTTTCCCCCCAGAGGAGAGTTCCCCGGGACCAGGCATGGGAACATCAAATACAGTCATTTAAGTATTAATTGTCATAGGCAGATCTATTCAGCATGAAAATAAACCCAAATCCTGGTTTCCCTTCTGGTTTACAAGAGAATGAAAGAATATAGCAGGAGGTAGATTATTTTCTATTCTTTATAAATTATTCTTTTATGGTAATACTTACTATTTAAAGTCTTTAATGAGATTTTTGTGGATCTTCATGCAAAAATCCTCCACTGTGGTCTTGCAGTAAGGCAGTACCACAGGAGAGGTGTAGTCTGGGAGCTGCCCTTTAGGTTTGGTGTAACTGAAACACAGAACAGTCATCAGCACCAAAACTTCCTCTTCTCTTTTAGCCCACCCTGACGTTTCACAGGTCATTGGCACTGTCACCCTAGGCACTTGTGCCAAGTTCCACTGTTTCAGCGGCGACAACAGGCACTCTGTAAATTGTTTGGTGGTCTTAAGATGAAAATGCATCTGGGTAGCCAAAGGCTGCATCAAGTTTTCCCTTGTAAATGCAAAGGTTTATCACGAGTGAGCTTTCTGTAGTTGCTTAAAAGGAGATGAAATGGGAATAGCTGATAGAAAAGAACATCTACAGTATTATCATAGAATGGCCTAGGCTGGAAGGGACCTTAGAGATCATTTAATCCAACCTCTACGGTTCCAACTTGTGTGGTGGTTTTTTTTCTAGAAAGCTAGAGTTCTAAGCTAGTAGAATGAACATTATAAAATAATCGTCATTCATCCATTCTTGAGACATTCTTCAGTCTCAGCCCTATACTGAACTCCCCAGAAGGCAGCAATAGTGACTCACATTCGTACTAGCTTCAAGTAGTCCCAAATTTTCTCCAGCAGATCATCAAAGTTCCAGCGATGATGAGCTGATATCGGTACACAGTGGGGTACTTTGTAAATAATATCTAGTTCCTCAATGGAAATTTGGTCAATTTTATTTAGGACATAAATGCATGGGATGTAAACCCTGCAAAGAGAAGAAAACACGGTTACGGCAGCCTATCAGCAGTACGCTGCTACCTTCACTGGAAAGAAAATATTATTTTTAAAGGATATCCATATGTTGATACCCCATTGCTAGCAAACCTGAGAGACAATTCTTTTCTTTGTAATATCAACTGCGGGTATGCAAAGCCAGGGCTCCCGACAGTACCTGTTTCCTTCAACAACGTCAATTAGGTCATCAGCAGTGGCGTCGCTGCGCAGTGTGACATCAGCATTGTGAATTTTATACTCTGCTAAGATGCTCTTCACTGTTTCGGTATCCAGCTCGCTCTGAGGACACTGAATGTAGACACAGTATTAAAGAATGGAAGAGTTTATGGTCAAATCAAGCATTACAATTAATATTGCTACCACCTAGCAATCACTGCACATAGATTACTAGAAATAATAGCTACCTTTTAAGTTACTGGGCTTGACTAGGATTTTACCAAAGTTAGCCTCAGGAGAGGGAAGAAATATTTAAATCTTAAGAGCTTTAATTGCCCCGCTGACAGCTGCAATTGGGTATTTTGGAAGCAGCGTTTCCTGTTCATCTGGGACCAGCTGCAACACAAACCCACAGCTCTATTAATTCAGTGCACAGACAACTACATGCTACATGCTGAGATCCCAGGGCAGAGTTTTGATTTTTGATATCTCTGGCTATTTCTGTGCTTTCAAAGATTCAGTGGTAAACGGGAAATGAATAGTCCAGGTGGCAAGGCCTGGAACTCTGAGCAATCTTCTCCAGAACACCACAGAGCAAGAGGCAGTTTTTGCACATTCTCCTTTGGGCCTCGGAACTTGTATTTGATGGAAAGCAACCGCACCTCTGACTTGGAGGTGAGGAGGTGGTCAGGCCCCTAGGACAGGTATGGACGGCCTCCGAGAGAAGTAACTGACTACAGCGCAGTGCACCAGTTCAGCTTCTGAAGAAGTCATAACACAGGAATGGTCCCAAGCAAATACCTCTGTCTTCGAGCAAGTCAAGCAATTTTATTTTTTTAATTTCGGTTAAAGAAAACTTCCAACTTACTGTGGCTGTAAGGTTAATGCCTCCTTTATCCTTTTTTTTAAAGCCAATATTGGGGGGCTTACTATTCAGACGAATTCCAAATCCCTCCAGTTCATTCTCAATGATTTTCTTGTGACCAAGGGGTTTCAGCACATCCAGAACAATCAAAATGAGATTACAGGTTCGAGCAACTAAGAATCCGAAAAAGAAAGTCATCTCTCAGAAAAGTACGCTCACTCAATCAGAGACAAAACAACACAAAATGTGGCTCAGTGTTAAATCCCTGAAGGCCAGAAGATTGTTTATTTTTAAATTCTAGTATACGACGAAGTTTGTAGTGCTGGCCAGTGCTCTCAGTGACAGACAGATCCTTACATGTTGTAAGAATCACAGAGGCTGGAAAAATCTTCCTTCCCATCTACACTCAGACCCCAGGCTGATGACAATAAACTAGGTAAAGAAGCGGAGAGAGCAGTCCTCTGTAATACAGGAACACATCTGCTTTCAAAATTAGTAACACACTTCCAGTGCAGCGTCAACACAGAGCAAATACAGAAAGTTAGAACTGGAAACAGAACAAAATGAAAATGACTACTGCTTCACAACAGGCAGCTCAATTCCAGCACACACCAACCCTCCATTCTCATAAGCTGTACTAACTGCTAACTGAAGCAGTAACAGGATGTGGCAGCCTCCAGCCCTAATACAACACTCACCTGCAATGACTTGCCGTCCTCTGCCTTTACCATCCTTGGCACCTTCAATAATTCCTGGGAGATCAAGTAGCTATTTGTTCAAAGGAAAAAAACTCATATGAGAAAAATATTTTTCTTCCTGGAGAAAATAAATCCCACTCTTACCTTTCTCCTGAACGAGTTGTCTCTACTGCAAATCTGAACAGCACCTGGCAAAATTGTTTCCCCTTTAATTCTTGTATTTCGTATTATCCCATGCACCCTACTGGTACAACGGAACATCAACCCACAGAGAATACAAGACCTACCACGGGAACTTCTCCCCAGAGGAAAGTGAAAAGATGAGTAAACTTAGTACCTTGTGGAAATATTTCCAATGTATTCTCAGGCACCTGTACACGTCACTTCTAACCTGCTAACGTCCAGCTAGACCATTCAGACAAAACGCCACTGCATCTATATGTAGTGTCTTAGCCTCACAGACACAAAATTGTCTCACCTGTATCTTTGCTCCTTTGTATCTAATGACTCCAGGCACGGTAGTTAGGGTAGTGAATTCATATGCTGCCACTTCAGAGTATACACCAGCAAGATTACTTAAAAGAGTAGATTTCCCCACTGATGGAAAACCCACAAACCCAATTCGGGCATCACCCGTCTTTGCAACATCAAAACCTGCAAATAAAGAGCAAGAATATTTGTTTAAAAATCAACGTTTTCTATCTTCTAAGGTTCCGGACAGCAGTCCCACTATTACTTTTAATATTGCCTAAGTGAAAGGCAGTTAAGCCTCCCTACAACGAGGATAAGAGTTCGAGACAGAGGGTTCACAACGATATTGCCTTGCAGCACTCTGCATAACACACCACGGCGTGGACCTGTCAATAAAGGGTAGGCTGCAAGGCTGCTCAGTGACCTATACCTGACCTGAGTGTAGGGTGGAGCAGTCCCTTTAAGCACGGAAGCTCAGACAATTCACACCTTTATATATAAAAACCGGTGGCTGCTTCATGATGCTTCTTCATGTAAACCCCCTGAGGCTTCTGCAAATACGAGACATAGTAGCCAAAAGTGCAGAAGCTCGTTCATTGGCGCTTCAACAAAGGCTCCACCCCGAACGCCTAGAAAGGGCCACAGACCGCGGCTGGGGTCCCGTACCGGGGAGGACGAGGGGGAGAGCAGGTTACTCCCATCTG